GAGTCTGAAAGGCAGAGAGCGTCTTCTGTGTCAGACACGACTCCATGGAAAAGTCACCACCTCCAGTCAAGGAAGGACGTGAGAAAATATTCTTGGCCAGGCCTGGGCTTCGAGACAGAGAAAACTGAACAAGATAGAATAGTAGAATCTCCGCTTACCTGTGAGCAGCTCTTGCCACGCCAGCAGGGTCTCTGCAGGTATAGGAAGGAGGCACCTGAAGGGCCAGTCGACTTGGAGGGATGAATCTTCCAGTTTGGGTGTCTTTGTGCCCAGATGAAAAGTTTCGGATCGAAGCCAAGAACCACACCGGGGCAGAAACATTTCTCAGAGTTTATTGCGCCGGGCTACTCAGCAAGGGGAGAAGCACCGGGGGTTGGATTTAGAGGGTGTATATGGGGTTCAAATTGTCTTCCTGTCAAACATTCTTCTAGGTGGTACAGCACTGGTCTGTGCGTTGCTGTACAGAGGTAACTCGTGGTTGCTGTGATGCTGAAGACTGTGACAGTGATGTGCCAATCGTGGTAATGGGCACCCATGGTGGACAGTGTTGGCTGGAGCTTCCCAACTAAATCAAGCCTGGAAGCAGGAGCGGCATCCACTTGCAAAAATGGCTTGCCTCCGGAAACTCTATGTACGAACAGTGCCCAGGCCGTTCATTCATAGGGTCACTATGAGTCGTCTACGACTCGACGGCATTAAACAACAACAACAACATATGGGGTTTTAGCAAGTGTGTTTTAGGGGGTTGCGAGATGAGTGGACATTGCAGTAGCTCATTGGTGCATAAAGCTTATGGTTTTGGAAAAGGTCCTAATATGGGAATTTTTGAGCTCTAGTTTTGGAAAATATCCTGAGAAGATGGTTTTCTGAGTTCTGTTTTCAGAAAAATGTCTTGACATAGGATTTGTTGAGTTCTGGTTTCAGAAAAAGGTCCTGACATAGGATTCTCTGGTTTTATTTAGTGTCCTGACATAGGGTTTTCTGAGTTCTGGTTCTGGGAAATATCATGACATAGGGTTTTTTTTTTAGCTTTTTGAGCTTCAAACTCCATTTTGATTTTTAGACTAAGCGTTTGGTGAAGCAGAGTCAGCAAGAAAATAGGGAGATTGCTAAGGAGACAGGCTGACAAATGATTAGAACAAAGGGCTCAGATGTATGTACCAACAGTCAGGAGAACGGTGCGTGATAAGGCACTGTTTCGTTCTGTTAAATATAAGATCATCAAGAATCAACGCTGAGTGTAACAATGAATGAATGGAAATCCAAAGTCTCTGTAAATTTTCATTAAAATTAACAATAATAATAAAAAAAGAAAAAAGAATCAATGCTGACTAGCAAAAATTAACAAGCAAAACCTAACCATATGATTTCTGACCTGTTATATTCCTATAGTGCCTAGACTCTAAACATCTCAATTACAGGACAAATCTAAATACTTAAGGAACGATTACATTGGATTTCACGTCTTTTTTAAATTTTAATAATTTTAATGAACATTTACAGAGATTTTGGATTTCCATTCATTGATTGCTGCACTTCTCTCCCTGCCCAGCCCTCCCCCAACCCCCACCCCCAATCCAGTTCGCTTCTCTCTTTGAAAAATAATAGGAAAACTCCCTCCCTGGTACACAATCACACCACCCCCCCCCACCACGCGTGCCTCCCACCACCCCAAGTACATTCCACCACGCAACCTTAATTGTGGACTCTTGTGTGAATTTCACTTCTAATACTTACTTTGCTAATCCATTTCTACTATTGTTTACTGTTTCTTTTTGAAGCAGCATCTCTTTGCTCCTCTACATTGCTCCTCTGTCTACAATGAGACTGGTCCACAGTTAAGATTCTGTAAAAGACGAGGTCATTCGTGACGAAAGACGATGCGAAATAGATGAATTACGCTTTACGAGTGAAGAGGAAAGGCATATATTGGTTCTATAGCAGGTAGGACAGAGTCTAGATACACGGGGGTCACTGCTCAGGAGAATAAAGGGACTGACTGTTGGGAAACACATCGAGATAAAAGTAGACGCGTTCCTGATCCACCAAATGGAAGGGACAGCAGGAGCCATATAAACATAAATAATAGAAGAGACGGCATAAAATGATACGTAGGTGACCACCAGGACAAGGATACTTTTGGTGGCTCTGGTCTCAGCTGAGGATCTGGGGGTTATTTTATGGTTATAAATATGTTGCACTTGTTGTTTATGTTTGTACAGGATGAAAACCACGGAGGCACTGGCCCAGGACATGAATCCCAAGCACAAAACATCGTGGAAAGATATGAATGTCACATAGAGTGAGAACGTGACATTGTCATAATTCCTAGTACAGCATTTGGACATGTTTTCCTTTGCAATGGTCTTGTTGATCCATTTTGTAGACGCATAAATAGGGAAAATGGCATTTACCATCATGTGCAGTATCCAGTTCATGATATTACAAGGACCAATGTACTTGAAAACTTTTAGTTTAAGCCCTGCCCACCTGGAGTGCAGAGGGTTGATGGTGATGACCTGGAAGACACTCAAGAGGCAGGTGGTGCAAACAGAGACACCCCTGCCCACTCTATCGAGAAATGAAAAGGAGTGACAGCCAACTTTGTTGACGTGACATGTTAAACCAAAGGCAAGCATTGTCTCAGGGATCCCTTTACAGAGAATGGCTAAGGAGTTGGCGACAGTCAGATGCGTGAGAATCAAGTCTGTGGGCTTGGACCTGCATCCACTGAAATGAAGGAAGATGTAGTGCAATATGAGTGAGAAATTCCCAAGGATTCCAATGGTCGTCTGGAACAGAAGGATCATTGCTATGGTCAAAGCCATGGAGCAATTCTAGAATTTTGTGGAGAGCTTACAATTCAAATGCAGGGTTAGAAGGTTCTACATGGAAACAGGGGTCTTGGGCTACATTCTTCTTGAAAAAACAAAATATAAAGAGTTTATCATTAATGAGAGAATTGCCTTCTCAATACACACTCTTTCTCTCCTTAATTTATGGAAATTAAATTTTGTCCTTGTTTTATTTTTGTGTTTCACACATTCTTTCATTCACGGGTTTCATACGATCCTTTCCCTACATTGTGTGTAGAAAATGAATCATCATTAATCTATGGTCACTAGTAACCCATCTTTTTT